CCCAACAGTATTTCAGTCATACAGGCGGGTAGTTTCCTAACCATCGTTCCTGAAGAGTTACACCAGTACGTTTCTATGTTTGTTTTTATCAATGTATTGGTTTGTTAACCAATTGGTTTATTACACATTGAAAATATTATTCCGTATTATTCGTTTTATTTGTCGATAATCATTGAGAAAAATCTACGGATCCTCAAAGATGACATTTTCCACACTTTTTTTTCCATGGACTGAATTCGTTATTACGAAATATAAATTCGTAATAACGAAACATTAATTCGTCTGTACAAAATAATATTTCATTTGCATGAATTACTATTTAGTTTGTGCGAAATATTGAATCGTTTTTACGAATAACGAAATATTATTTCGTTTCCGCGAAATTGTAAATCGTTTTTTCGAAATATTAATTCATAATTGAGAAATATTATTTTGTTTTTACGAAATCTTATTTCGTTTTTTTACGAAATGATAATTCGCTTTAACAAATTATTAATTTCCATCCATGGACGGACAGAGACTAAAACCATTTCTCACGCCGCTTTTTGAGCGATGCATATCACGTGTTTGCCTCGGACAACCTCTTTACGTGACGGCGGGGTAACAAGATCTCAAGAAATTTATTGTAATATAGTGTTTGAACTTGCCACCAAATATAACGATTATAAGCCTCATGGCTCTCAAGCTATTTTATTTGATTGAACAGGATTTTGAGTAAGAGGTCAATCTCAATTCAAAATATCCTCTTGTTCTCCCTTTTCAAAAACTTATTCCCAATAGCTGGCAAAAATCTTTTTTTTTTTATTTTCTGAGGCAATTAATCTTTTCTGACATGTTTCTTTAAAAAGGTAACTGGCAATATTATTACCCTTTTTATCGTACACAATTGTAAAACTTAAAGGGACTGGTCTCAAGATTTTCACTAAAAATAAATTTCCTTAAAATTTATAAATGGGCATCGTGAGCTCATAAAAACTTGATATTTTATTTTAAAACGAAAAAATGAAACAGTTCTTTTTGACCGTCTTTTGATTTGAACCCCTGGATAAAATTTCTTTTAACAACAGTTTCCATTTTCTTTACTATTACGGTTTTTTTAGTTGCAACTTAATCAACAAGCGATTATTTAACAAATAAAATATGGCCCTGAGGGCAATATGTAAGTTTACGGACTAATTGGTCAGACTGAGGAAGGTATATGACCCGAAGCGCGGCTGAGGGACATATAGCTTCCTAGGTCTGACCAACCAGTCCGTGAACTTGTATTATGTCCAAAAGGCCATGTTTTATTGGTTATATTATACCGAATCTAAATCATTTCATCCCTTTTGTTGCTGCCATTTTTACTACATGTATAAGTAACTTTCAAATAATAACTTATTTGTTCAGTGTGTGAAATATCTCAAACCCTAGTCGGATATTTTATTATTATTTTCAAGCGATACGACTCTTCTTTTGTTATTCAATTTTTGTTAATCAAATTAAAAGGACAAAAAAAAAAGATTTTCACAATATGTATTATATAAAATTTATAATCACTTTAAAGACAAATCGTGACTTTTGATCAACATTTAATAAATTTATATGAAACAAAACAATAAATTCAGTAAAAAGAATAATTTAACAACAAAATAAAATATTATACCTCATTTGCATTCGCTTTTCCATATTTAATATGGACATCCAGTCCATATAAGAATTATGGACCGCCCCGGTCTGTATGCGGTTTATGGACCGGATGACGTCATTTTAAATATAGAAGGGCGTATGCAAATGAGGTATAATATTTTAAGTTATATAGATTACGGGGCGTCCGTGGCCGAGTGGTTAAGGTCGTTGACTTCAAACCACTTGCCCCTCACCGCTGTGGGTTCGAATCCCGACAGGAACTTTGGATTCTTTCATGCGAGGAATCTATCTAGCTAGCTTATGGAACGTCGGTGGTTCTACTTAGGTACCCGTTCGTGCCTGAAATAATGCACGGAAGGGCACATGAGGTCTTCCTCCACCAGTAAAGATGGAACGTCGCGATATGACCTATACTGTGTCGATGTGACGTAAAATTACTCAAAACAAACAAACAAAACAAATATAGATTACAAAACTGTAATACCGTCGCGTTCAGATATAAGATAAGGAAGAAAAAAATCACTATTTATACTGTGTTTAGTGTTTACCTGACTTATCTTTAGTCAGGGACTTAGTTTTAAAGCCTTCTGATAAATATTACAAGAATGTTTTTCTTTTATTTTCTATCATCTGGAGGTCAGCCCCTTTCAAACCCATCTGTAACGTGACTTTTGAATTTTTGAAAATTTCTCAACTTCACAAAATGCCACATAATTTCCCGAATTTAATCCAGGGGCCTTTTCCCCAAAATAGCTGGAAAAGCCCTGAATTATTTCTAAAATCAAGGTCATTGCGGCCTTGACCTGTAACGACTGACCAAAATAATCAATAGGGATCATCGATTGGCCAGGGCCTCACATACCGCTTCATTCACTAAATATTGTAATACCCTGGTCTATAGTAACTTTAATAGAGACAGATAGAACCTAACTTTAAAGCTTTATTGTATTTTCATTTCTTGTCTAATGGGTTTATATCATGGTGGATAACAAGTTTATATCCAGGGCTTTATAATTGCTAGGTATTTAACTTAAATCAGTTTATTGTGTGCATGAAGTACCTATGAATGCAGGATTATATAATTTACTTCCTGGTTTAAGCAGCCATGTTTGTATACATCCTGTGCATTGCATTGTGGGTAGTTGCTTAGCAACTGCAGCTTCCTTTTATTGTTTACTTGTCAATGCAGAGATGTCAAGCAACTTATATCAACAATTAAAACTGTTAACCCCCTTAAAAGGAAATTTGAGGTTACAATCTTTTGTATTAATTATATTTTTATTAAATAAGACTAATAATTATTGATATATTGGTAATTTTAATATTAAAATTATCATTTGTTTCCAGTGACTGTGAGCTTCACAGTTCAACATTATTTTATGTGAAGCTGGGTTCACATGATTTTATGTGAAGTTGGCAAATTTCACAAGTTGTGAAATGTGAACTTCCACACTTTTTTGTGTGAAGTCTGGGTAGTATATAAACTGTTGTGAGGTCATTTTCGAGGACACACATGCAAACAACTTGTTTAATACAGTATAAGTTTTATTCGAGAAACAACAATCTGTAAGGTACTTTAACTTATTTTGGTGAATATTTTCTACAAGTTTTTACATAGAATTAACATTTTGATAAGTATAATTTTAAGTAATTTTAAGCTGATAATTAAATTGTTAAAAAGTAGCAGTTTTACAAGGCTATTGACAGTACTGAATGGCTATTTAAGTTTATCTGCCTTATATGTCTGAATTTGTGACTTTGTTGAATGAAATCAAGTCTGAGAGAGAAAGTGAATATTTCGTAAACGGAATAATAGTGATGTATTGTAAACATGTAGCAGAGTTTCTTTTAATATTTAAATATTTACCATGATTTAAGAGGAAATAATTTTCTGCTACAAACGTTTGATACTTTTAACGTGATAATATAACACAGAACACATTTCACTGTTTTATGATCATGTTTCTTTATTCCATAAATCATGAATTGAAATTAACTATTGCAAACAAACTTTATATTATAATAACATAATATCCAAAGTATTGCTTAAGTCCGAAATAAGTATATTTTAATGTTCTGTATGTCCAAACTATTTCTAATCCAAATTTACTCTGCCTTCTCAATCAATCTTCCTTGTTTATATACTGCTGTATAAAGAGCGGGAAAATGTCACGTGTATAAAATGCCACCGATACACGTGTTAAGCAACATTTTGTATGCACCGTCTGTTGTTGAGAACCGTCTAGACACGATTCATATTTATTCAACCACGGTGCACCTTATTGGGCACCGTTCTAATTTACATATATACGAATTTAAGTGACAAATTAACTTAACACTTAAACAACGTCAACACTTTATAATAGCTTTGAATACAATCACGAAAAACTTTCTTTACTTGCACATTTTAACGTCTTTAAACACTTTAATGATACTACATTTGAAAACATCATATTTCACTTATTATAATACACTTTTACTTATAACTTTAAGGACATATTGAATATAACACTTTAATCAACACAATACTTTACTTTTAGTAGAGACATACATTTGATATATATAACACTTTGACATTATATGTAACATTATGCTCGTGATCTTCACGACAAAACATAAGTTGCTCTTGTATAAAATAAAATTGCGATTGACTGTTGAAAGAGAAAAGCGATAGGTGTTTATTAAATGAATAAATTGAAGTTTAAAGTTTATCTCTAAGTCTTAGTTTTTCGATTGCATCACATGAATTATCACAAGAATTATTGTTTTAAAAGGAAAGCAACAGCTGGAAGCTGATCAAGATAGCTACCCATAACAGATATTGCCCATTTTACCCAAGTTCAGAATCCAAGGCTCGAGCTACCAATTGTGAACGACTGACATCCGAGTCCCAATAGCGTTACAATATATAGACACTTGAAGGTTATTGAGCCGACAAGAAAGAGTCAAAGTGTCTATTGTGATTCTGTTAAACCCGTAAAAACGAAATATTATTTTTTAAAACAAATTAATATTTCGTTAGAAAATAATTTTTCGCAAAACGATATAATATATATAAAAAAACCAGTTAATGTTTAACGTAAAATGGCCAATATTTTGCTTTTAAATATAGACATTTTAATTAAAAAATCTTGTGTGGTCACTCTGTTAGTTTCATATTTTAAGGGTAAATGCAGGAGATATAATTTACAAAGATTGTCCATGCTGATTTATGCATATGGATCATACAAGAAAACGAATTAAAAAGTTTCGTTGATTCATCTATCATTGTATAGGGGTTTTTTTGTCTTCTTTCTTTTTCTCTTTACACCATTTTGTAATGTTAAAATAATAAATATATATCTATTTTATTTTTTATTTTTGCTAAACAGAGAGTATAAGAAGCATTGCAGCAGATGTAAGACATATCAAGAATGACCTTGAGAATAATACTTCCGGTTTAGATAACTTAAAGGTGGTTACAGATGAGATCAACAAAAAGTGTGAGGATGGACTTTCAGACCTGTCTAAAAATTTGGAAAGACAGACGAATGATTTGAGATCTTCTTCCACAGGTAAAGCTGAAAAGTTTACATATTACCTTAACAGAGTCGATGTGAACAAATTTAACAAAAAAATAGGGTGACAAAATACAGTATATAGTTTTTAAAAATAAACACTATTCAATTGCACGGTTTTAATACATGCATTGCCATATTTGCAACATGATTTACAAGTGTGCTTCTTTTATTTAATGCATGTGAATAATATATAAAGACAAGTTAGAGCGCCACCAAACATTTGTAGGGTTAGCGATGATTTCGCGCAGCTTGTGTCATATAACGAAAATTTGCGAACATTTTGCTTATAATGCAGGTATTTAAGTATGATATTTTATCTTTCTTTTTATACACCCCACGAATTAAGTTTAGGGTTGGAACCAGTTCGTTAGTCGGTCCGTCCGTACATCCATCAGTCTGACTGTGTGTCCAATTGAAAACTCTTGAACGAGGGAATCAATTTAATATTTTTTTATTCACAGATGTAACATCATAAAAACAGGTCATGTTCGAATTTGACATCATACTACTTTTTCACAGAGTAATGGCACCCTTTTATCCTATATCTAAAAAAAAAACATGGTGTCCGGTCGATTACTCTCTTTAAAGAAACTTTTTTGGTACATATGTGATAGATGTAATACCATAAAGTACAGATAAATTCCTCATTTTTCCCAAAGTTATAGCCCTTTTTTATAACTCTTTAATAAGGCAATATATTATGATAATTTTTTGTGCACATATATAAGATCATACAATACAGGTCGAATTCAAATCTGGTTTTAGACCACTACTTTTTTACATACATGGACTTCCTTCACCTTCTTTGTCTTCTTATCTCATTGGTTTCCATGCGTTAACTCTGTAATGAAGCAATGGGTTGTTTTAATATTTGGTGTCCCATTCATTTTAATCTTAAATTCTTAGCCAGTTACTGATGACCTATTTACAACAATAAAAACACATTATTTCCAGATGATGAGTCGTTTAAGATGTGATCCACTATCACAATGTTCTGTACAATGGTTTAACATCATCAAATACATACCAAGTATAAATTTAGCTTCATATTATTCTTTATTTTTCAATCACTTGTTGCGATTTTTCGATTTCATTTTTGCATTATATGCAGTTTCTAGAAGGTAACTCATTTACGATTAAGTTGAAAGCGGTTTATCATTAAGTATTAAATTGGAACAAATTTTGGTTTACATGATATTATGAAATAAAAGTCCGGTTGTGTTTGGCAACAGCCCACTTAATTAAAAGGAAAAGCTTTGGCTTCTTCTAAATTAAAATAGAACAAAAGAACTTCATGGTTTGATGGGACAATATATTATAATTTGAAAACAGTTTTCTTTTCCTTGAAATTAAACAATTTTAATGCATCCTTTATTTGACCATCTTATCATTGCGTAACAAGATGGTATATTGGGGATATCAATCAATCAATCAATCAATCAATCACTTCATTGAGTTTGACTCTAATTGAAAATAAGTAACAAATATAGGCTGACATTCCAAATTCTTACCTTATTTGATATAAGGTGGGATATGAATCACCTTTCGTAATAGCTCTATATTTGTTCTTTTAGAAAGCATCAAAAACGTGTCAGAAGTTGTGGTAAATATTAAGAAAGACGTGGAGAAGAGCACTTCCGGTTTAGATGACTTAAAGACAGTAACAGATGAGATCAAAGAGCAAATGAAAAGGTTGGATCAGGCAACGGAGAAAAAAACACGTAAGTCTAATATTTACCTGTATCATGTCGATTGTTCTGTTAAATAAATTAATGATGTTTCCAAACTTCAAAACTAAATCAAAAATAAATATATGTGTAAAATTATCTGTTATATATTGCTGACACTTAAAGGCATATTATGCCACAGATAGGAATTATTTATAATTATTTACTTGTTTAGGAAAGGACAAACGTCAGTTTAAAATTTAGGTATTAGTTGTGAGCATTTAAGATTCTTAACACGTTAAAAGTAGCGATGAATGCAAAATTATTTGTCATAAAAGTAGCAAAATGTCAACAAAGTAGTATTTTGATTTCCACACGAAATACCAAATTACTGAATCTATACTTATTGCCTAATTCAGCATAGACAAAAGATGGTTTAGATAGTGAACAATAATTATTAGGAAACTTTAAACGGGAAAAAAATAAATAGCTTTATCAAATAAAAATTAAAGCAATTCTGGGGCGCAATGGGTCTTTAATGAAATCAAATAATGTTTAAAATGAATTTATTTTGTTTTGTTTTATCATCCAACTGTTTTAATTGTGACACAAATTGCCTACTAACATCGCATAAAGCAATCAATGGGCATGGCCCCTTTCGGAGAGCCTTATTCTTTGAAACCATTTCTACTTGTGAGATAAATAAATTCCCAAAATCAACAAGACTTTTTTTTTCTTTTTTTTTTTATAGATATATTATTATAGATATTATCAATATTGATAATGTTAAACCAGTATTTAAACGATAAAGGACTCCAAGAATAAGCATGCAATTAATTTTTTTGACATGTGTTTATGATTTTCCTATAGAACAGGCAGATTAAGTAAATTTAATATTGTGCACTATCACATTATCACCACCATATCATAACGGCATCATGATCACCATCAAGATTATCATTGTCAATCATTATTATCAGTTCATCATCATCATAAGTATTAGCACAACACGGCATCATCATCATCATTATCAAAATTATCAGATCATCATCATTATCAGAGCTTCATCATTATAATCATTAGTACATACGGCATCATCATCAACATCATCATTATTATAATCATCATCATCATCATCCTTATTCGAGCAGAGAAATATGTGGGGGGAACATAGCAACATAGCATTGATTGTTGTTTTTTGTTTTTGTTTTATTATTATAATCTTTGGGGGTAATACTTTCTACTGAGCGTTAATTGCTATTTTTGAATTGTATTGTTGTTGTGATATATGTAGTACGTAATATGTAGTAAATATGAACCTATTTTTTCAGAGGTAATCGCATTCAATGTGGCGGATGCAGTAAACTACCCGGGTAATGATGCAATCAAATTCTCCAACATTATACTAAACGAAGGCGACGCATACAACAAAGAAACGGGGATTTTCACAGCACCACTTGACGGGATTTATCAGTTTAATGCACATATTTGTGGCAATGAAACTGTAGAAGAGATAGACTATTACATTGCAGTTAACTCACAATGGATAGTTACTGGAGAGTTTACTGCTCCAGCCAGAAGCTACAGATGCAAAATGTACGTCTTTTAGTGCGGTGGCCTTGGTTCGAAAAGGTGAAAATGTCCAAGTTGGTGGAATGCCTTTCTCTAATTTAGATGATTATAACAATGATTATTGTTCTTTCTCTGGTGTCCTGATACAAAGCATATAAACATTACATCACATTCTCGTTGTATATGTCTATAGAAATATTGAAAATGATACTAAGACATGATCATCGACACTGTTTAAGATATTTATTTGTTCCTACTCGGCTACATTCATACTTACAGTACTGTTTAGAAAAGAAAACATTAATCAAAATTTCAGAAACATTATCGAATTTTTCAATGGCATGTTTGTAATCGCTTTCAATGTTTGTCACATTGTCCTTTTGTCGTCATAACGGATCATAGATTAGTTTTTAAAGGAATTCAGAAAAGGAAACATTAATAAAAATTTCAGAAACATTATCGAATTTAATGGTGGTATGTTGAAACATTATCGAATTTTACAGTGGTATGTTGAAACATTATCGAATTTTACAGTGGTATGTTGAAACATTATCGAATTTTACGGTGGTATGTTGAAACATTATCGAATTTACGGTGGTATGTTCGTTATCGCTTTCAATGTTTTTGTTACATTGTCCTTTTGTCGTGATAACGGATCATAGATTAGTTTTTAAAGAAATTCAGAAATGAAAACATCGTGAAGTGTAATTGAGCCGCGTCACGACAAAACCAACATAATGGGTTTGCGACCAGCATGGATCCAGACCAGCCTGCGCATCTTCGCAGTCTGATCAGGATCCATGCTGTTCGCTTACCAACTTTATTACAAGTAGAGAAACTGATAGTGAACAGCATGGATCCTGATCCACTTTATTTTTGTTGCCGTATTTTTGCATGTGTTGTTATTATTACAATTATTTTGATTATTATCATTTTTGTTGTTGGTGATGTACGTGAAATGTATGTAAATAAAATACTGTTAATATTTAGTGTCATTGTTGATCTATTTAAATGTTAATGAAATAAACCGGCTCCTGATTCTTACTGATTTTCACAAAAGTTTGAAAAATGATATAATTGGTAAAAGCATGTTGCAAAACGTGTAAATATAAAGTGATTAATAAACAAAGATTTGGGCACATTTAATCCATATGCTTGTTATAACGTGTCCATATATGGAGAAATGACCCTTATTATTATATGTTAGTAAATAGGTAGAAATATTGTAAAATATTTGTTAATTCTGTCATATTATGTATAAACATGCAAAGTTCCACGTGGATAGTGACGATTAATACATTCTTAAAATCTACGCTACTTGCACTTTACAATTTTTTTTGTTTGAAAGTTAATCGAATATAGATATATTTTTATATGGACGAAATCATTGCAAAACTGTTAAAGTCCTTCTTAAGATTTCTTCCGCGATACATTTTATTTATTGACGTAGTGTACCAATGTGTGTTAAATAACAGAGTCATTCTACATCTTTCAAACATTGATCATAAGTTATGCCAACAACATCACAGGTTTACTCTTTTTACATTTTTGTATAAAATATCATTGGACCTTAAAACTAACGAAACACTCATATATGTAAAACTCTTTGTTTTATTTAAGTCCAATTACATTATAGTAAATGGACTAATGATATCTTAGATTGTCTTAGATTGTCTAAGATTGTTTTCATATAAACTTCAAAGACATTTATATTATGTATCCACGTATTCATTTTTTTCTAAATTCTGTCTTGAACAAACAGTATTATTATGAATTATTAAAGCTGCATATCAAACTGAGTGAAACAAACTTTAGAACAATAAATTAGGAGTATAAGCAATGTATAAATATACCCGTTTCGTATTTATATATTTTTACGTGTTTCAGGAGAATATGACTGAATTTATTGCCTTTTCGATAAACCGTTCCTAATAAAGGCAAAACTGTTTTGGCATATTTTGACATAATCTGCATAATTCATGCATATTTTAAATGCTTTATGGTAGGCTAAATCATATATACATATGAACACAATTTTAAACATTCATTAAAAAAAACAAGATTACTTCCTTGATATACGATTACTAGTATTTTAGTCGCTATCATATACCTGCAAGGTTTTTTTTATTTATTTTTTTGTTGTTGTTTGTCTTTTTTTTTATCGAAACCCACTGTTGGGTATCTCATTCAGAAAAAAATATGTGTGTCTTTTCATCCTTTTTTCCACAGTTTAGAGTTTGATCAGATTGTAGATGTTGATCTGCATCTTTTTATTTATAGGCAAGTCGTTATCGCCGATATTATAGAATTTTTTATAAATAATCTTCAGAGATTAAATGAAAAATTAAACAAGATTGTCCAGAATAATTTGAATAAAACTCGAGACTGGACAGGCTATTTCTTTCAATGTTGTTTATATTGTTTAAATCAGAATAGATTCTCGAGTGTAATAGTGATTTTGTTGTTTTTGCAGTATTTTTCCTTCTTAATATAATTTAATGTTATTCGGTAGTCAGGGAAAACCTGAACATAGTAGCTTTCACGATCATGATATATGAAATAACCGACATAAATTTAAGAAAATTGAGGCAAACTTTGAAAACAGCCCCTCATTGTGGAAAATTTTAGGGATATTTTTAAAAAGGCTTTTATACATGGGAATGGTCAAATAAGTGTTAAAAGTGGGTGGGGTAGGGTTACATTTTTAAACATATTAAAAACATTTCGTTTAAAAACAATCATTTTGCTTGTTTAATTAGTAACCTTAATGACATTATTTGTTTTTTAACAATGAGAATTAGGAATACATTTTTCATAATGATGATATTATAGATTATTTAGAGTTTCCTCATTTCTGAAAAAAGCCCTCTAATGGCAAAGTTTTAGTTCAGAAAAATGTCAATAACTCATAAACTACATGGTAAATTTTGTTTAAATTTTGCATACAGTTGACATTTAAGGCATATAACTGTCCTTTGTTGTCAATTTTACAGTTACTTATAGTGCCCATTAGGGGTGTACTACCTTAATGTCAGTTATTTTCAAGTATAACTTATCTTGTTCCTGCACTTTTTATCAATGTTGTATATATATTGTTGAACTGTATAATTGTATAAAATTGTATCAAATAAACATTACCTTGTCAAGATGTGTTAAACTTTCCTTAAATTGAGGATGTTCTGCTTGCAAAAGGGGCTTCGTAAGTAAACTTCACGATTTTGAAGGTGTTTCTCATCAAATCTTTTAAGTAATTAAAAATATCTATGTATTTTATGAACAGTTAACTGAACATCAGAACATACACCTTTACAATGTCAATGGTCATTAAATCCTAATTTGTTTACACTGGTATATCTCATGACTGTGAGAAACTTCCAGAAAATGCCTTCTTCTATTAAAAATGGTACTGCCGTAAATCAATTTTCTAACGCGCCTCTGAACAAATTTTTTGTTCAAAATGGCACTTAAGAAATCTACTGTCAAAAGTTTAATTTATACAATTCTACTCGTATGCCATTTAATATCAATTGAATCAGAGTCCATAGAACATGTGTGTATGTTCTCTTTCATTATGTGGGATGATTTTTTTTAATTACAGATAATTTAATGATAATAACTTGTGACAAATTAAACCTATCAAAACGAATAATTACCAATGTAAATAATGCAATCTTATTATTGTATATTCGTCAGCAGCCCTGATAGGCGATATGGGCTGGCAACCAACTTTCAGTAGACAGATGACAAGTGTTTCTAATTTTTGGCACAGACTATGTATGATGCCTAGGTCCAGAACAAACTACAAAGTGTTTATGTATGCTAATTCAGTTGTTAGTACAAGATGTAAAAACTGGTGTTTCAGGAAAAAACAAAAAAAAAATTATGATCTTGAATGTACAGAATTTTTTAATATTGATAATATGGTATCAAAAAAGCTATGTTAGAAAAAGTTCAATCTAGAACAATGCAAAGTTTTATTGCAAAGTGGAATGTAAATGTTACATCTGAAAGAAGTAGAAGCGGGGTCGGTGGCAACAAACTGCGCACATATAGGCAGTTTAAGACAGCTTTTGGAACTGAGGAATATTGCAAATTCATACTACCGCGTTGCCACAGGTCCGGTTTTTGCTAAGTTCAGATGTGGAACTGCACCACTAAGAATAGAGACAGGTAGATATGAACGCCTACCAGTAAATGAAAGGCTTTGTCCTTTTTGTAATGACAAGGTAGAAAGTGAATTTCATGCTGTAATGGAATGTTTGATGTATGAAGATATTCGTGTAGATCTATTTGAAAAAGTGAGTGTCAAAAACCCACAATTTCACACAATGACAACTATGGAGAAGTTTACTTTTATATTCTCAAATACGAGTTGTGTACGGTATATTGCCAAAACCTGCTTTGACATACTTAAGAGAAGGGTAACTTTCCTTTACATATAAGAACATACAAATTGCTCTCTTTTTCCTTTTTCTGATGTGTCTTTTTATATGTTTTTATTTTTAATTTAAGATCTGTACATTGTATATAAAAGAATAATAGGTAAATGTTTTTACTGCAATGTAGGTTTTAAGATAAATATTTTACCCACACTAAGACTGTGGTCTCACATCGTTATCAATTTTTCAAAAGTGGATATTACTTTATAGTTTATATAGTCCTAGATAGATTTAATTAAACAGTAAAAAAATTATAATAAAAACAGTCTTAGGAAATTTTATTTGACAGAATATGGTGTTATAAGTGTCATTAATTGACTTATATAAGTTTTAATGGCCATATTTATTTCATATTGGACAAATATATGCTGCTTCTGTATAAAACATCCATTGACTAAGCCAATATATTGGATAAAACAGATTTTCATGTTAATTGTGTTGAAGAATACAAATCGTTGATATACTGAAGTTAGTAATATTTTGAGAATGTACAGTATCAAGTATAATAAATGACATGCTTTCCAAGATTAAATGATATATAATGTCTTACCATTTGCATTTAAACATTTTAGTATCGTTTTATTCATTGTACCACAATGTAAACTTCTGTAGGAAAAAAACATGCAATAGTTTGAATATATTGAGGTCATGTTTTTAAAAAACAATATAACCTTTTAATGAATGATAATGATTATACGAAATGTGTGTAGCTAGGAGGGACAATTCTTCAGTGTATAAAACAGTAAACTGCTGTGATATGGTCTGTGGAGTTGTCTCCCTTAGTTGTAATTCTTTTTAGAATGGCTTTTCATGTATTTTATGTTTGTGTTTTACGTTTTATATGTAATTTTATGTATACATGTAAAGATGAGACTGAAATAAAGAAAATAAAGTGAAAATATTCTTGTTCTTCGTTTTATATCCGTATAAGGAATCAGTTCACGAATGTAAATTTGTTTGAGTAATCAAAAGTATTCTGTCAATTAGGGTGAGATCCAATCAAGAAACTTGTCTGAAAAATGTTTTATATGATAACATAATAATGGCCTCCAAGGTGGGGGGGGGGCATTTTTACCCTAAGTGCATGATTCATAAAACTTATATAGAGGTCTACTAGGAAATAACATATGCAAAATATAGAGGCATATTTATCGACAAGAAATTGTTTTTCCCTATACCTTAACGTTTGTTAATTTGTTTATTTGGGTTTTACGTCACACCGACTCATGGCGACGTTCCAGCTTTACTGGTGGAGGAAGACCTCAGGTGCACTTCCGTGCATTATTTCAGGCACGAACGGGTACCTGAGTAGAACCACCGACGTTCCGTAAGCTAGCTGGATAGCTTCCTCACATGAAAGAATCCAAAGTCCCTGTCGAGATTCAATCACTCGGCCACGGACGCCCCTAACCTAGTATACCTTAATCTAGTTTAAATAAGTGACTTCAGTGGCTGGGCACATTTTGACCTGAGGGTCATGGTTAATATAATTTTTTAAAGAAATCCACAAAGTGATGCTACATGCTCTGGACTTTGTAGTTTCATACAATATGAAAAAATGTGTTTTCCTATAATCAAGTGACCCCGTGGCGGGCCAATTTTGACCCCAGGGGCAAGATAAATATCAATTTTGCAGAGGTTAACAAGGTGATGCTACATGGTAAATATTTTAGCTC